GTTGCCGGCCGGGCCCAGGCGCCGTCTTGCCTCCCTCACAGGGACGGCGGCGGCGGCGGCTCGCTCCTCTCCGCGCCCTTCTTTGGGCGGGTTTAAGTAGCCCTCGCCTTGCCCTTGAGGCGAGCCGTGTAGCGCCGGCCGATTTGCCTTCCCTGTTTTAAACGGCTCTCCATCCTGGGTCAGATTTCTGAGACCCGGTTTGGGGTTCAGGCTTTAAATTCACACGAGCAGTGAAAGCCAAAACCCAGGAGGGAACTCGCCGTGGGTTGTACGTCAAACCTTGTTTTCCCATCACTAAGTAAACCACGTAATTTTGGGCAGGGCAGGCAACTCCGGGTTTTCCTTTTCTAGTCGTGACTTGACGGGGTCTAGGTTCAGTTGTACTTACACGTGTGTGTGTGTGAGAGAGAGAGAGAGAGAGAGAGAAAGAGAGAGAGAGAGAGGGAGTGAGTGAGTGAGTGTGAGAGAGAAATGAATTTGAGGGGATGCGGAAGCATGCATTTGAAAAGGGTGTGGGTGCACCTATTCCATCCAGTTAGCCGCCTTGGGTCCTCTTCTGAGGAGAAAGGCGAGGTAAGAATATTTTAAATAAATAAACCCTTGCTGCTTGGACTAATTTGGCACAAGGACCTGCAAAGCAGAAGTCGGAGGCAGCCGCACCTTCTGAAGATGCCCACTGCCTCTTCTCGGTGTTCAGCAGTGGCCGGCAGTGGCAGCTTCTGCCTCAGGAGAATTGAGGCAGGGCTCCCTCCTCCAAACTCCTGGGGGGGGGCAGTGGAAGACCAGAGGGCCTGGCGGGCTGTGGTCCATGGGGCCATGAAGAGTTGGACATGACTTAACGACTAAACAACCCCTTCCCTGCCATCCTGCAACTGGCTCTCTTCAGTGGCAGAACTCTCTGTGTGCACATGTGTGAATGCTTTTCTACCTGTGTATGTCTGTTTCAGGATCCTTGTGTGTGCGTGTGTACAACACATACAAATACCGACACATAGGAATAAGCCAAACAACATAAATCACTGTGGTGAATTGCCACGAGTTGCAATGGCAAAGCATATGTTTCTTCTGCCCCAAATTAAGGAGCTGGTTTGCAATAATTCAAAGGCCAGCTTCCTGTTCCATCTTACCTGCTATCATGCTGTTCTGTGTTATGCAGGGCTTACGACCTCCCTGCTTGTCTGAACATCTTCTGTAAGGTTTGTCTGCCTGTCTGACCCAGTCCTCATGGATTGCAGGCCTGCTGGTGTTAAGACCTCAACAGGCCTGGAAAACAAACTCTAAGCCAGGCTTTCTCTGCTGTGGAATGCGTTATCAGGTGCCTCCCCTTGTGCCTTTAAAAAGCATCTCAAAACAAATTTTTAGAGCAGCTTTTGAAGACGTTCTCCCCAATTAACAGGGAGAGGAAGAAGAGGAGGGATACATATCACACTGAGCAACATTTATTCTTCCGCCAGCCTTGTTACTTGCAATGATGGAGTTAGTTTGTTGTAGTTAGTTTAGTATATAATTTATGTTCATATATTCAGGATACATATCATACTGAGCAACATTTATTCTCCCGCCAGCCTTGTTACTTGCAGTGAGGGAGTTAGTTTGTTGTAGTTAGTTTTTATATAATTTATGTTTATACTGTATATTTAAAGTCAGAATCAACTTACAGCTACCCTAATAGGACTTTCAAAGTGAGTGAGATAGTTAAAGAGTGGTTTTACCAGTTCCACTTCCCAGTGAGTTTCCATGGCTAAACGGGGATTCAAACCCTCTTCTCCAGAGACCTAGTTCATCGTTCTATCCACTATATGGATTCAAACCCTGTTCTCCAGAGACCTAGTTCATTGTTCTATCCACTATACCACACTGGGAACCCATATTTGTAATCCTCTCTATATTAATATAGTAACAGATCTCAATACCTATAGTATAGGCATGCTGAAGATAAGTCAAGCCAGAACAATCTTATAGCTTAAATATACATATTTGTCCAATGCGAGTGTTTGGTTCTGGGTGCAGTATTTTAATAAAGATCTTGAAAATAGAAAATGATAAATGAATCTTGGTGAGAAGACTGATGGAGAAGTCTGGAGAAGAGAGACAGCCAGTCAATTTCCATGGCTAAATGGGGATTGGAACTCAGGTTTTCTGAGCCCTAATTTGTCACACGATTCACTACTCCACACTAGGCATCTTTAGTCAGCTTCTTAACTAAAAAAAAAAAAGATCAGAAGAAGAAGACATAACTAAGCAAACAAACCCAACACCACATAATACAGCAATATTGTACTTCCCTCCACTGGGACCATCTGGAGATATGACCAATTTTGACTCCATTTACAGATCCCTATTCCCTTCCCAGAACTGTTCCGATTCTTGTGAAGGTGCACAAAACCCCTTCCCCTTTGACTTTTATTGACTTTGTTGACACAAAGTCAATAAAATCTCCCTCTAGAGGCAGTTCACTGATGAAATTTACACTGTAGGACTTACTTGCTGGTGGGCATAAGTCAGAGGATTCTGGCCCTTGAATTTCAACATGTACTTATCACATAAAGGGGCTTCTCATCAGCCATGGTTTTGCATGACATAGTAATGATGCTCAATTGAGGTTATTCCCAATAGGAGCCCTGGCATACAGTAGAAGAACAGTTTATAACTTTCTATGTACATATAAATCTAGTTTAGGCCACTTTTATGAGCAGTTTGGCAATTTCAGATGATAAAGGTGAGTCCATTAGCAAGACTCAAGAAAAATTAGGGTTGGATTACTAAAAGCCAATGCCATTTCCCTCCAAAGTATAATACATGTGTCTCTTTGAAATGGTCATTTGAAAAGGGATATTCTGCACTTTGCTGACTCATGTACTGTATATTATTTGTTAGTAAGTCGCAACTAGTGTAGATCTGTTGAGTCAATGGAACTTACAGAGGAGTTGACTAACCAGATCCCAAACGATTCAGATTGGATTTTAGCCAATATCTTTAAGGCATGCTGCAGAAGAAGCAAAAAGCATTAGTGTGGCGTTGACCCTAAGTTATGCATTGTAAGCTATGCATTATTCATTAAGTTGTATGTTAATATGGTTGTGAGGCGGAGCCGGGGAATCAGTCAGTCAGAGTCAGAGTCAGAGAGAGAGAGAGTTAGAGAAGAAGACAGTTTGGGGTTTGGAGGCTGAGAGTGTTTAAGGAGTGATTAGGTTGTGATTAGGGACATGGTGGAGCTGTGGATTAAACCGCAGAAGCCTCTGTGCTGTAAGGTTTGTAGATCTGCAGCTGTAAGATCGAATCCATGTGATGGAGTGAGCGCCCATCACTTGTCCCAGCTCCCGCCAACCTAGCGGTTCGAAAGCATTCAAATGCAAGTAGATAAATAGGGACCGCCTTGGTGGGAAGAATACGGCATTCCGTGTCTAAGTCGCACTGGCCACGTGACCACGGAAGATTGTCTTGGGACAAACGCTGGATACGGGGATGAGCACCGCCCCCTAGAGTCAAACACGACTGGACAAAAAAATTGTCAAGGTGAACCTTTACCTAGGTTGTGATTATTCAGAGCGTAACCTGTGTTAATATAGAAGGTAAAACAGTGAAGCTTGGTGAAACTTAAAGAATGTGCTTAAGAATTATCCTGGAAACCACATGTAATCAATAAACCTGTTCTGTTAAAAAGTCATTCTGGATGGACCTTTGTCTTTTATAATTAAAATCAGTTGATAAAGAGATCAACTGGTGGCAGCGTGTCAGGGACGGGCTCGCCTTGTGAGCTCTGTGTTTGGGTAGGGGCTACAGGGTAAACGCCACAAATAGTCTTGTGTTTGTTCACAGGCATGCTAGAACAGCATGCTGTTTAGTGGCTGACACTAAGGTGCAGGAAGAGATGTAGGATGAAAAGTAGTAAGCCATTTTTATTAAACAGTACACATTAGAACAATTTTATTACAGCCTGAAAGCAGTTTCTTGTAGAAACTGGAACTGCAAATAAAGTGTCTTGAACTATACAACGTAGTCCTGAACAAGACAATGCAGTTAGCATGTTATTAGAAGCAGAGCTCCTAATGAGAAATTTCTGATTGTCCTAGAGCAAGTTTATCTCATTTTGCATTTTTGCAAATCAATATGTTTCTGTTTATTAATTAATCATCTGGAAGTGAACATGAATGTTTTTTACAGGTTTGATTGTGCCTGAAGAAACTGTATGTCTGGGAGAAAAACACTGTAATAGTAGCTTCCATTTACCATGGACTTGACTCAATATTTTCATGCTTTCTAAGATCCTTTAACATGCTACAGGAGAAGAAGAAAGTATTGGTGTCATTTAAAGGTTGGAGAACTTTGATCGAAGTGCGCAGTTTGATCTGGGCAAGCACAATGTAAGCCACAAGGGAGCTGTGGATAGGGCAACTCCATTGCTGCCTAGCCCCTGGCATGTTTCTCAGGCCCCCACTCAGGTATTGTACATGCATACACACATCCCATTCTCACACACATAATCTGATCCAATCTTCTCTCTTTTACTCACTTCCTCATACAGACACACTCCTTGACTGTAAGAGGTAAGGAAGGAGTGAAGCAAGTGTGTCCGAGTTTTTAGGAGTGCCCCTCGAGGCTGTGGCTCAATTAGGAGTCACTTCTGTGCCACTTCTCCCTTCTCTGAGGATGACAAATTCCAGACTGAAAGACATTTCCCAACAGACTGGTCGGCCACCTGAACTCTCTCTGAGGCATTTGTTGTGTGAAGAAAATCATCCCCCCAAAGATTGCTCTAGGGTGTCCTACTGTGACCTGTTTTTCAAGCAACCCATTGAGAAAGTGATCCCATCCCATCAGCGGAAGCTGAATGAGCATCCGTTTACTGAAGGCCTGGGGGTGTGTGTGCTTCCAGAAAACCAGGAGGATTCAGAGAAATGGCAGTTTCCGGGAGAAAGGTGTCATGTTCCCAAGATGAGAGGAATTAAAATACAGCAAGATTGTGGTTTTAAGGTTCAACGCCTTCCTGGGAAGCTGCATGTCATTGCAGACAGCCTGCCCAGGATGCATTGTGGAATTTCAGATGTGGCAGATGGTTGAAGAAGTCATTTCTGTTATTCCTGAGCATAACCAGAGTGTTATTCTGTTTTGCTACTAACATGACTGTTTTCTATTTTTCGGATTCCTAGAATTGCTTAAACCTGAGTTTTGTATTCAAATGCTGCTATTAGAATTATTTTGTACCTCAATGCTTTGCTAATTAGAATGCATAATTAATTTTTATTGCATTTATTTTATTGTGTAACTTTAACATAGCATTAGTGAAATTACTAGGCCAAAACTATGTAACCCAATTTAGCATTGTTTAGACAAAAATGTAGACTAAAAATCCGTCTCTATTTTTGAACTTTAAAGGGAGGCATGATCATGAGAATTATTTTGTACCTCCATGCTTTGCTAATTAGAATGCATAATTAAAAATTTTTTTGCATTTATTTTATTGTGTAACTTTAACATAGCATTAGTGAAATTAGTAGGCCAAAACTATGTAACCCAATTTAGCATTGTTTAGATAAAAATGTAGACTAAAAATCAGTCTCTGTTTTTGAACTTTAAAGGGAGGCGTGTCATGATCATGGGATATGTGGTCAGAAGTGTGTCATGATGATGGGATATGTAGTCAGAGAAATGTAAAATGGAGTCAGATTAGTTCTGTGTGAAGATGATTTGAGGGACTTTGGAATGTGTTTTTCTAAGTGCCATGAGAGTGTTTTCCTGGAGACTGTTGCAGCTAAGCATCCAGATAACTTGAAGGCCAAATTAAGAGGCCCGGGAGACTCAACATTCCAAGCTGGCTACAGAAGACAAACAACACCTGGACTCTCACGGGAATGAGGGAAGAAGAGAGGTGGTACGACCCCCTAAAGCTTAATTGGTTAACATCCAGAAAGGCCATAGGAAAGGGAGGAGTTTGGAAAAGTAGAAAATGGAAGATGGGTTATGTGAATTTTATTCAATGGTTCATGTGTTGTTCTGATAATGGATTTCATTCCATGATGATGGTATGAGCATGTAGCTTGAAGGAGAGAGGATGTAAGTAAAGGAGAAAGAAGGAGGTGGGGCTAGCCTACCATAGCCCACTATAGCCTACCCTACTGTAGATTAGTTTAGTAGTTTGTTATTTTAAAGGGAAATAGTTATTTAACTGCAATGATCTTTGAATATGTTCTTGAATGCTAATGCTTTTGCAATATAAACTGATTTCTAATGAAACTCTATTTTTCTAATAAAAATCAATTATTAAAAATCCTTATTGAGGACTGGTCTCTTCAACAGCGGGGTCTGGCTAAATCCAGAAGTGGAGTGGGTCACAAACTAGCTATCATTTAAGAGTCCTACCTCACTGTGAAGGACAGAAGAGCAGTGTACCATCCTCTACCTCGCAACACCCAGTGGAAGAGAGTGGATGTTCAGAGGGAATACTCATAGAGATAGAACAGGAAAAGGTTAAACCCACAACAGCCTCAGAGGTGTATCTAGTGGATGACGAAGGGGAGGAGTTAGATCTAATATTATGGGAGGATATAAAAGAGGGGGAAAGCACGCAGATTTTCAGTTTGACAACTGATGGAGCATTGTTGGGAAGAAAGAGTCGCGGGGTGCAAACCGAGCCCATGCGTGACTTAGAAGACTCCACAGGCCTTCTAAAGGACTTTCTGAATCTACAACTGGGAGGAGGTCTGTTACCCAAACCTAGCCTGGGCGACGTGAAAGGGAGAGAATTAGATCCCCTAGAATGGACGGTTGTTGTTTTCCCACGCAATCAGCGTGGGGGACAGAGGGTGATCCGTCCCAGTCCCTCTTTTCTCCAGCAACCACCCGAGGGGGACTGGGCTCATCACCCATGTTGTGGGACGGTTTGTGCCGTGAGGAACACCCCCTTGAGACCTATGACGGACAGGGAGCGCTTTGGTCCAGCCCCTCTATAAGGAGTGATTGGAAGACCCCTGATGTTAGAGTTAAGACTTATAAAGTTCTACCAGAATTAAGTTTGTTGGATCCTTTTGATACCGTTGAATTGAACTGTTCAAAAAATAAAGAAGCCTGTGTTAAAAGATCTGAACCGCCTCCGCTCCTCCTTCCCTCCCAAAATCAAGGTGCGCCTCCGGCTGAAGACGAACCTGTTCACACTCACTGAGCTGTTGTGAGTTCTAAGGAATCACAAAGCCCATGTGCCTGTACTTACAAAGTACTAAGTAAGTTCAAAGTGTTCTTTTTAGGTCAGACTTATTCGAAGGGCTTATGCTACACACTGCTGAGGTCTAAGGGCTCGATCCAGCACAAAGGTGGTAGATAAGTGCCTGTTGAACTTTCTAACCGAATGCTTATTGATCCTTAGAGGGCCGGGAGCATCACATGTTTTAATTCTTATTTTATATTGCTTGGACTGTAAGCTGCCAAGAGTAGATTCATTTGATTCTAGATGGGCAAGGTAAAAGCCAAACAAACAAACAAACATCTAATAGTATTTATTGATAGTGTCTGGCTAGCCTTGTCAGTCTAAGCTCCTTGTAAGGAAGTGGCAAGTTTAGAAGTCAGAGTCATGTGCCTCTAAGTTTAAAACCTCAAAATTAACACTGAAGAACAAATATCAGCAGACAGCTTGGTGGTTTAGACATCTGGCTACAAACCCAAAGTTTGGAAATTCAGGTTTAGACATCTGGCTACAAAGCCAAAGTTTGGAAATTCAGTTCCCTGCTGGACTCGATGACCCAGAGGGAACCCTCCAGCTTTCCTTGACAGGGGCTGGACTCAATGACCCAGAGGGAACCCTCCAGCTGTGCTATTCTAAGATTATTAGAAGGGGCTTACAGGTAGAGATGGGGGTATTTGTATAGCGGGAGGGAGAACGAGTCTCCCTGTATGGTTGCTGAGTCACTAGCCAAGCAGGAGCAGAGCAGAGCTCCGCGAGCAATTGGAAGGAAGAGTGAGGCTGCCGCTGCCACTGGACACATGAGTGGATGGGCCGGCCCCCTTGTTAAGTCCAGCTGTGCAGGGATATTTTTATTCTTATACGAATAATTCCATCTCTACTTATGAGCTATGGCTTACAAGCTATGGTTCTGAGACACTTTGTTTTACATTGTTTTAATAATTATTTTAATAATTATCCAAGAGCTACTGAATAATTGCTTCGGTGGAAAAGAGGGGAAATGCAGAGAATATTAAATTGGAGCCTTTTTCATCTTGGATAGTTTTAGCAAGATTTCTTAGGAAGGTGTCAAAGGAGTGAATTTTAAGCTTACACGTAACTGCCCCCATTCCATACCTTCAGCTTGCCAAAGGTCTCTGGGCGGCTTACAGCATATCTTCAGCTTATGAAGTTGCTAGTGTATCTAGGGCATGGATTACCTGGCAATGCCATGGTTTTCAAAATGCAGTTGGAATCTTAGATCTATTCTTGTTTCAGATCTGACTGCTATAGAATGAAAACTATTTAATTTGTATTAATTTAATATTTTTACCCTGCCTTTTTCACTTAAAAGGACCCACAATGGTTTACATCATTAAAAGACAATATTAAAAAGCTATAAACAGTAAGTATACAAATATTAGAAAAGAATCAAAGACATACCATGCTAAGAAGGAAACAAACTCAATACCAAAACCAGATTCAAAGCAACAAGGTATAACGCTCTATTTAAAAGCTCCTCTCAGAAAGCCAGTCACGAAGAGAAGGCCTGTCTGAAGAGAAAAGTCTTTGTCTATTTGTGGAAAGACAGCAAAGATGGGGCCAGCCTGGCCTCCTGTGGGAGGAGTTCCAGAGTCTGGGTGCCATAACAGAGAAGGTCCTCTCCTGTGTCCCCACCAAGCATGCCTGTGAAGGTGACGGGACCATGAGAAAGGCCTCCCTGATAACACCTAGGTAGGTTCATAAAAGGATCCTTCAGATAGCTTGGATTCAAGTTGTTTAGGGCTTTATAGTTAAAACTAGCATTTTGAATTGTGCCTGGTACTGGATATGAAGCCACTGGAGCAAATCCTTTCATACTTCCAGGTCTAATGGTGGAAAAATAAATTAGTTCATTCCTTGTTGAAATCCAGGAGTTTGGAGTGATAACCGGTACAGTATGTGACTTTTTTCATGGTTGGAACGAAGGCCACAGAAACCTTGCTGTTTCACAAAGATGAAAGCTTATTAAGAAGTTTCTTCAGTTTGCTTTAGGAAAGATGGAATCAGACAGAAGTGCGTATTCCTTCACTTCATATCACTCTAGAGGAAAGACTAATCCTTAAGAAATGATATGCAGGAAACTTGTCAATGCCAGCTATTTCACTCCTGATAGAGACAGTGGCAGCCAGCAGCTGAAATTCAAATTGGTCCATATGAGACAAGATAGAAGTTGTATGCTCCTGAGGAATTGGTTTTGTGAAAAACATGTGGCAAGTACACAGTTCATTTTCTCCCCAAGGCTTCATTTTGCTGTTTGCCATACAAACACAAAACATTTTGTTCCTTTTGAGGGGGAGGACATCTCCTTTCACTCATGAAATTACACACCATTATGGGTTTGATACAGTTACAGTCATACCCCCAAACCTTATTTTACAAATACAGTACAAGAGAAAGGACACAGACGTTCTTCTCTTTTTGAATGGCCTATCCACAGTTGACTCTCAGCTAGGGATATGGATCCTATGTGGATCAGGGATATCCTCTGATTTGGCGATGGCTGCTTCCATGGAGCTTGGGCCAGGTTTATGCCAGTTCAGCTGTAGAAATTTCTCCATAATGTTTGCACCCAGGTTGAAGATCAGAGCAAGCCAAGCTAGACCAAAAATAATCCAAATTGCCGCCAGACTTCTATACACTGAGATATAATGTTTATTGGGATCTGTGCCTAGAGGAGAAGAGAAATCACAAGAAAACCTACATGTTAGACATAGTTTACCTATGCACACATGTACACACTCACGCATGCACCCACTTCCTCATTTCACATGACCACACATTGGGCAAAATCCTGTTGTTTGAAAACTGTGCAAATTGGATCCAGCACCAGTAATATTTAATTAAAATTAATTGAAAACAGGTTCCAAGGCTCCTTAGGGTTCTCTTTTTCCTTGGGAACGTCTTTGAGAAGTTTTTGATTTTTAGCTGTTAAAGGCTGTCTGAACCTCAGCCTTGGAACCTGAAGAAGAGTAGGAAAATAGGAAGTTTTCAATTAATTTTAATTAAATATTGCCAGTGCAGGACTGGTTTGCAAGGCATAATTTCACACCAAAAGGATTTTGGTCATTGATTAAAACTAAGGAAGATGATGAGTAGATATTCCACCTACATCTCATGAAGTGTGCTGTAGTTCATGAAAACACATATGGTAACAAATATCTTAGCCTTTGGGGCATCACACTTCTTCCTATTTCCATTATGCATTTGCCTGCAACTTAGATATGACAGGGATTTTGCAAAATATGCAGTTTGAGCTAAAATCCAGGGATATATTAGGCCCACAGCTTGCAAGGTCAAACCTCTTCTAGTTTCTCAAGAGCAAAGACTATTATATCATTGGCCATCCTCCTCAGCCTTCCCTGTTCTCTCTGGAGTTAAGAATCTTCACCGCTTACCATGCATCACAATATGCATGCACAAGCATTTTGACCTTGAAGGACTCATCTGATACTTTTGAGGCCTGCGTGCCTGCATACACACAGGCACATGAGTGCCTGCAGACAGACAACTTTCGTTAGTGAGAAAAGAGAGTTCTGTGTGGGGATCATTCCTTCCCTTGTAAGAATTTCTTGTTACTAGGAAGAAAGAGGTGGGAAGTTGGTGGCAAAGGGGATTCAGTAGTAGCTGAAGGGATGATGATCTGGGCTGTGAGAGCTGCATACAGCCTAGGAATGGGCATAGTTAAGCTACTGGGAGCTGAATTTATCCCTGGGACTATAGGTTAGGCACCCCGGTCTTCAACTTCTGTCAGCTTTCTCCGATGGCTGTCTCTTTTCATCAGCGGCCACTGCCAGAACAAGCAGGATCCCCATGGAACTGCCCCTTGGCATAGCTAGCAGTTCAAGGTCCCTGAGCTTTGTTTCTGTAATGATATAACAGAAGAAGGCGCCTATTGCCTCCTTGGACAGTTTGTTTATCTAGCTCATCGTCATCCACTGTGATTAGCAGTGACTGCCTAGGGCCTCCAGCACAGTTGATCATCACATGTTCTCTAATCTTTCTAATAGAAAATTGTGTATAAGTGATCTGCACACAAAGCACATGTTTTTCCCCATGAGATATGGTCTTTCAACTGATGGACCAAGACAGCAACATAGTGTGTGCATCATCTCAGTGTGGTTCCTGGCTAAAATTTGGAAAAGGAAATTACAGGCATGCCTGCAGGATTGTTTCTGTCTAGCCCTGAGATGTCTGTTCATGTTGGCAACAGCTTTCAGGCAGAGCTACCACATGGTGTTAAAGAGTGCTGGCTCAGTGCTAATGGAGCACATAAATGCAAGAAACAGAACTTTAAAAAAGGAGAATCATGAAGACTATCTAGAATGAGTTGCCTTGTGATGGGGTTTTATTTGTAATATTATAGGCTTTGAAGTTTCAGATTGCAAAAATCAATGTGAATTGGAATACCAGAATTTCAAATACGAGCTTGTTTTACTTGGGGGGAAAAAAGCAATTCCAATTTCAGAACACATTCCTTTATCTTCAAAACAGATAAAATGAGGAACAAGGAACCAGCATTTTGGTTTATTTCTGGGTAAGAAGTAGAAAAAAACCCCACATTCCTTTGTCTGTAGCAAATTCATTTCCTATTTTTCTTTTGCAGCCTATGAACATGGGTTTGTAAGGCAGTTTTTCATGTTGCAAACAGCTTTATAGGACAGAGTTTTGTACATCTTTCCTCAGTGTACCTTTCATGCAGTGGCTGAAATTCCATTGCTTTAACTCGCAATTTTTTTGAAATTAAAAATTTCTAATTCCTCACCTTCCCTTCCCCCCCACCCCACCCCACCGTGAGAAAGCCGTTGGAGCTGTGGGGTGGAGGGACACTTTGATTCCTGAATATTTCTGTGGCTGGGATGATTTTACCACTTTGACTAGTATGTTAAAATGACAGGATTTCAGCCAACACTGTCATCTTGTATAGATGGGAGAAGATGATTAGCAGCCCACATTTTGCATGGCTTGAGGAGTTTGGATTCATCGACTGTGCGCATCACAGGCTTAACAGAGAGGCATTCATTATCATTACTGTCCCAGAAGCATCTAGGTCTGGCTGGGTAATGTTGGAACTAGAAGGATCCTCAATCATTGTCATGATAAATAGAATCACAAGTAATGGTTGCTACTAAAAATTATCTTCATAGCATTCGTTTTGTTAGATGTACTTTAAGAAAGCGCGAGTTTCAGACTGGTGTCTTTTTCTAGAAACTACTAATCCTTTGCACATAGCACAGATGATTATTAAGGGGATGGCTGAATGGATGAATAATTTTGTATGGAACTGACACATAGGCAGTGTCAGTGGAGAAAATACACATAACCATGAATTGATTACTCTTTGATAATTTTCAAAGGTTTCAGTAGATCGTCTTGTAATCAACACTGACACCCTGTTCTCAAGAGTCAGAATAAGTCACCACCATTTTTTTCCATTACCTACTACATAGTCTCCAAATCCAATGGTGCTGAGGGTGATGAAGGTGAAGTAGAAACCTTCCCCATAACTCCAGCCTTCCACATAACTGAAGATCATTGGAGGGAAAACCAGAAAAAGCAAAGTCCCAACCAGCAGAAACAATGCCATCGCCAGAGCCTGGATAATCTGAGAAAGGATGGGAGGAAAGTGACATTTCAGTACCACAGTGTTTATGCCTAACATGTCTTGATCAGACTGATTACATCCAGGCTGATGTCATATTTATACTACTTAAAATCCACCTAACATTGCAATCTCCAAGTGAAAACATCTGAAAACCACTTGCATGTAGCAGAACTCGATATAAGTTACTGGTGGTTGTAATATTGATTTATTTAAAATATTTGTTAATAGCCTTTCTGTCCACCAGGGATCCTGGAGCAACTTTGATTTTTAAAAAAGATTGAAAACTAATTTAAAATTAAATGTTATAAGCCAAAATTCATATGGGACAGAAAGTGTTTTAGCTACCTATCAGAAGACTAACAAAGAGGAAAATAGCCTAGTTTTGTTTGGGAAAAAGTTCTTCAATGCAAGTATGATTACAAAGAAAGCCCTGTCTTCTTGTACCAAACTAACTATTCCTTTTTGGATGGCAGGACATGTAACAAAGTCTCTGTGGAGAGTCTCAAATTCTAGGCATGGCCATACAGCTCCTATGTAAGCTTTATATTTCAGGCTTAAAGTAGAGGGACCCTCACAGAACAAGAGGGAGAGGGTGAAACAAAAAGAATCCTGGTTTCTTTGAATGAACTGATACTTAGATGTGTGGATTTTGTTTAAATTAGGACAGTCTCAAGCACATTAGCTCAGAAAAGATTAATCAGCCCAAATGTTGAGGTTTCTAGAATTTCCCTTCTTCTTTCTTCATCCCATTATACTGTGGAAGTGCTACAGTACTAAATTATGATGATATGTAGTCATCCACATACTCCTGGAACACTAGCCAAGCCATGTGCAGTCTGGATCACACTACACACCAAAGCAACAGAGAAAAAGCTTGAAGCCAGAATGTGTCACTGAAACAAATGTGAGATCAGTGAATAAAGGGGGCAGGGTGGGGCAGGGGAGGGAGAAGGAGGTTTTCTGGTAGGGTGGAAAATAGAATTCAAGCAATAATGAAAGGAAGTAAAGATACAAGGTTTTTGGCAACAGACAAGGTTTTAACCGAACAGGAAGACTGACTGCAATTAAATAAAGTAAAAGGTATGGAGATACAAAGAGTGACTTGGTGAACAAAACTTTGATCCACCATCCAACCAGTACCAATAACATGCGTGTGCAGTTTTATGGTACTGTGGATAGCACTTGTGTTCTGGAAGTAGAAGAACCAGAAGCAAAAGAGAAAAAGCTCTTGCAGCTGTAATAGTTGTTCAGAATTGGGAATTGTCAAACAAGTTACACCTGCTGAAAATACCTTTTTCTGTGCAATTGTTAAAAGCACAGGAGCCCTGTCTTCTTTTGCATCTGGGCATCCTTACTAGGAGGCAACCAAGAAGTATTTGCAATCTGTAGTTCCCAGAAATCCTGTCTAGTTGAGCCTTTCCTCTACTAAATCAAAATAAAATATGAAGAAAAACCTGTTTGTGAGAATTTCCCAAAGTGTCTTTCCTTCTGCCTTATGTCGGTAAACCTAGAAAGCATATTAGATAGGGAAGTACAGTTTAATGAATCAGCAGGAGAAGGCTTTGAGAAATCCAGAGGGACTCCACATAGATCCCTCCCATCCACTGGCCACATTTCTTGCTTGACACACTTGCAACAACAACCAACGTCAAATTATTGGCTGGTCGGTTTGAGTTGCCCCCACTGAGTGCTGCCTGATTTCCATTGAAATACATTATCTCTGAGATATTCCTTTCCCTTTTAGGTGACCCTTATACTACTATTATCTGTCCTGTCAAGGTTCAAAACCAGCTGATGATGAACATGTCTGGATTCAGAAGTCACATTCATTGGCAGGAACCCAGGGTTCTGCCATTAGCCACAAGACAGTAGATGAAAGTCACTTTTAAAAAGCAATGGAAACACTGATAAATGACAATTGAAGAACTGTACCTGGGCTCGGCCTGGCTTGTGGAACCATCTCTCAAGATTGATCAGGTGAGCGCTAAGGCCTTTCCCCATCTGATTGAGAAATGCCAGATTAAGAGGCACCCCAAACAAGGCATAAAATACACAGAATACTTGTCCAGACACTGTGCTGGGGGCCAGGTTTCCATAACCTTTAAGGAAAGTAAGGGGGTGAAGTATCACAATCTTTTGAAGGTGTTCAGCATTTACATTTCTCCTGTAAATAATCATTTTAAAGACAAAAGATCATCTGTATCTGAGAATTACTGCCTATATTTGGGTACTAAGACATGCCATTGGTAAGGGTTACAATGCAGGCAAAGTTTAACACTCCTGTTCATCTGTCACTCAACAATTTCAGACTTCTGTGGGCATGTAAAAAAAAAGTAAAAAAAAATATCAAAACTTACACGATCTTCTCTCTAGAGGTAGATAATTACTCATGGAAAAGTTATTTGTATAAATGGGTGTTGGTAGAATACATGGCATTTTAAATATATCTTTTGACATTTCAAATGGTTCTGACAGATTTGCTAGGCCTTCTTTGTACTATCAATCAAACATGATTTAGCTCTCTATCAAAATGTCATGGAAACTTTAAAAAAAAGGAAAAAGTCCCAGAAAGAAATTAAAAAACAATTCACCTTACCTATGGTGGTGACAACTGTCCCAGCAAAGAAGAAGCTATTGCTAAAGTCCCAATTGCTGGGGTTTGTTGAGTTTCCTTCAGGATTGACACCTTTCTCCCAGGCTTCCATAATGATCTGAAACAGGAACATTTGTAGAAGGGAAAGAAGGGATTCCATGTGGATTGGAGGGAGTTGCACTCAACTTTGAAGATTTCGGTTCACAGTGTAACTGCACAGATGGATTTTGCCCTAAATTTTAATGCCTGGGTTCCAGCAGGGGCTAAGAGTGTGTTTGCAAATTAAGGCTGGTGCATTTATGTGCAGTTGTTCCTCACGATGTGCGATCTGGTCAGGCTTACACATGCCTACGTGACCATGTGTATGTATGGACTAGTGTAACATATGGCGTGGACTGACTCTGGAAAATGTTCAGAGACTTTATGTGGTCCAGAATGCTGGCCATACTGTTGACTGGGGATGGTCATAAGGAATTTCCAAGAACTTCACTCATTATGGGGCTATCTCCAGGCACAATTCCAAATGTTGGTTATGATCTATAAAGCTATACTATATTCCAACTTGGGTTGAGACTGTCTGAACAATCTTATTCTGCCATACAACTTTGCCTGGTCTTTGAAATCTTTGGAAGAGCCATGATAGTGCCCACAACTAGACACAGGATATGTGTGTAATAATGCTCTCTGTTTTGTTGAGTGAGCAACTGGAAAGATAGAGAACAGGATGAGCAAACGGGTGTGTTCTGTATGAGATTACTCTTAATAGGTAAATAAGGTATAGATGCATGCATTGGTTGAGTTCACAGTTAATTTAAAGGTGTTTGCCCCCCCCCTTTTTTTGAGGCTTTGTTTTCTCTTTGTTTGGAATGCATAATCCAGCATTCTATTGTAGTTTGGACTGAAATACGTATGTTGTTACATGCAGTCAAGTTGGAACCGACTTACAAGATCTCTAACAAGGTTTTCAAGGTAATTTTCAAGGTAAGAGAAATGAGATAGTGATCATCAAGTATTTGAAGGGTTATTGTGAGCAGCAGAGCTGTTCTTTGTTGTTCCAGAAGGTACGGCGATAATGAGAAGGTGGAAACTTCAGAGAATCAAAATTTGATTAATCAGTTGATGAAATTCCCAGCCACTGAGCATGTTTGTCATTGGAACCAAACGCCTGGGAGTGGGATGGGGTTCTTCTTTCCAGGAGTCAGCAAAAGAGAAATAGGATCCCTGTCTGTCGAGGAAGCTGTAGCTGAGGCTTGCACTCTGTGGGTGAGCTAGACAATTTTCAATATACCTTCCAACTGTATGATTCGTCCATAATAGAGCTGTAGATAGTTGCTGCTGATAAGTGAGAGATAATTCAGAGGCTCTTAATGTTGTAGCTGAAATGTTAGTGCCCTCTAGTGTTTTCCCCAGTATGTACAGCAGTAGGGAAAACACATTTAATCCTTGTGACCTGCCTTGAGTTTGCTATTCGATGTCAGCACTGCCCCTATCCTGCCTTAACTGATGCTGTTGTTATGTAGCAGAGGAGAAAATACTCCTTCTTCCTGAGGCTTCTTCTTTCTTTATTTGTATCAGAACATTGCACAATTTAAAACTGTGGATATATATATGAAATATAGATAATGTCACTTCTTCTTTCTTTATTTGTATCAGAACACTGCACAATTTAAAACTGTGTATATATATATATATGAAATATAGATAATGTAAAAATAAATGTTAATGTCAAAATGATTATTTTTTTGACCACAAGCAGGCTGCTTCAATAGCATTATCACAGCTGTTTACTAGATCTTTTCTTGTAGGCATATGCCCCATGGTGGGGCATAAATTGCATGCATATAAACATTGCACCGATTGAATTTTTCTACAATTACAGAAAATTTATCCGGTATCCCAAGTAGCTCCATTTTATGTGATTATTCTTGGATCTTCCTCTTTTGCTTTGAAGTCTGTTAAGTAACTTGCAGATGGTCCAGCCAGAATCTTGTCTGGTGAGAGAATTTCTTCAGCATTCATCCATTTGGCAAGGGGACATAGAATAAGCCTTCCCAAACAGTGGAAATCACTGCAAGTACACGTGGGTGTCCCTTGGGCAATGGCGTGCAGCTGGGTAATCCTTCCTGTCCAGAGGCATTGCACTGTAAACTTGCTGATGAGCTTTCTGAGCCAAAGGTATACATTTGCCTTTGTGCAAAATAAATAAATAAAAAAATGTAGTGTTAATGGGGAAAAAATGCCAGTTTATCATCTGGATTAATGCTTTCAGTGCAAAACCATTGGTTTGAAATAACGGTGAGTAATAGAAAATTCTAGGGGACATGGTGTTCCATGTCTAGTTGCGCTGGCCATGTGACCATGGAAACTGTCTTCGGACAAATGCTGGCTCTATGACTTGGAAATGGGGATGAGCACCATGCCCTAGAGACGGACACGACTGGACTAAATGTCACGGGGAACCTTTACCTTTTTGTTGTTGTTTAGTCATTTAGTCATGTCTGATTCTTCGTGACCCCATGGACCAGAGCATACCAGGCCCTCCTGTCTTCCACTGCCTCCCGGAGTTGTGTCAGATTCATGTTGGTTGCTTCGGTGACACTGTCCAATCATCTCATCCTCTGTCATCCCCTTCTCCTCTTGCCTTCACACTTTCCCAACATCAGGGTCTTTTCCAAGGAGTCTTCTCTTCTCATGAGATAGCCAAAGTATTGGAGCCTCGGCTTCAGGACCTGCCCTTCCAGTGAGCGCTCAGGGTTGATTTCCTTTATAATGGATAGGTTTGTTCTCCTTGCAGTCTAGGGGACTCTCAAGAGCCTTCTCCAGGACCACAATTCAGAAGCATTGATTCTTCAGCGGTGAGCTTTCTTTATGGTCCAGCTCTTGCTTCCATACATCACTACTGGAAAAACCATAGTTTTCACTATGCAGACCTTTGTCGGCAAGGTGATGTCTCTGCTTTTAAAGATGCTGTTGAGGTTTGTCATCGCTTTCCTCCCAAGAAGCAGGCATCTTTTAATTTCATGGCTGCTGTCTCCATCTGCAATGATCATGGAGCCCAGGAAAGTAAAATCTGTCACTGCCCCCATCTCTTCCCCTTCTATTTACGAGGAAGTGATGGGACCAGTGGCCATGATCTTAGGTTTTTTTGATGTTGAGCTTCAACATCAAATTTTTGGTGCTCTCCTCTTTCACCCTCATCAAGAGGTTCTTTAATTCCTCCTCACTTTCTGCCATCAGAGTGGTATCATCTGCATATCTGAGGTTGTTGATATTTCTTCCAGCAATCTTGATTCTGACTTGGGATTCCTCCAGTCCAGGCTTTCACATGATGTATTCTGCATATAAGTTAAATAAGCCGGGGGACAATATACAGCCTTGTCGTACTCTATTCCCAATTTTGAACCAATCTGTGTTTCCATATCCATATCTGTTGTTTCCTGTCCCACGTATAGGTTTCTCAGGAGATATATAAGGTGGTCAGGCACTCCCATTTCTTTAAGGACTTGCCATAGTTTGCTGTGGTCCAAAAATTCTAGTTAAACACAGTGTTTTAAATATAAATTACCTGAGTTTTCCAGGCAATTTATATTAAACTGGGAATATGAACATGATAGTTGCCCTATTCAAACTTTCAGAAATTGTGCATGATAAACACTTGATGAGGAGCACTCTGAACCTTCTCTTCTGTCATCACTTCCATTAGACCCCCTACAAACTGGGAAAGAATAGCATAAATTTAAATTTCTGAAGGTGAGGTCTTCCTTTATCCATGGAGGGTTCCTGCAGGATTTCAAACACAGATTTTCCACTGTTCCAATTTGGTAGAGTGCCTCCAAGAATAAAGGAGGTTATTCAGAAAGTTGTCCTCTATATGTGGAGGGCCTGGAAACATATAAGGAAATAATCCGGTGCTCACTCTCTCCATATGTTCAGTATAGATGTTATCTGAATTTCTGAATGGGAATGTATAGCTATCAAAATAACAATGACTGTATTTTCCAGTAGCAGGCTGACATTTATGGAAGAGGAAAGAAATACATTATCTGAGCAAGAGAATATAATAAGAACAAAACAACAACATCTGATACTTAATAATAACTGATAATCAGGATTTTGGTTAAAACTTATAGTTGTTTTATAATACCAGTCAAAGACTGTGTCTTGTATTGAAGAAGAAGTCAAGTAAATTCTGACTTATGGTGAACATTTCCAGGATTTTCTAGGTAAAGAGTACTTAGAAGTGGCGTACCATTCCCTTCTACTGTGGGCATCCTGGGACTATGCACCTTGCCCAGGGCTACACAGGCTGGCCCTTCTTCCTGAAGGTACAGCACAGAATCAAACTGCCAACCTCTGGCTCCATAGCCAGATACATACACCACAGAGCTATCCACTTCTCTAGCACTAGCAAGAAAATACCCTGGGGAAACTACAATATTAATCAAGCAGTGAATATACCAATGTGCCTGTACTGCTGAATAGATTACGATGACAAGCTTTTGTGTTAACTAAAAACCTGTTTTGCAACAAAATTTGTTGTAATGGAATAAACATGTGAAACAGGAGTGCTATCAGGTCTGTTTAATAGCAGGTGTTGTTTTGCTATTGTTTTTAAAATGGTATTAAATAGTTATAATCTGTGGTCATTGTGTATTTTTCTGAATCTGATTATTTAATATTATTTTAATATTGTAATTTATGCTGTTTTTAGTGGAACCTGTTCTCCGAGAGTATGTTTATGTTGCTTTGAGCACTGCAAGGGCGAAAGACAGGATACAGACAAAATAGACAAGAAGACATTAGATTGCCTTGGAAAAACGCAAGGAAGCAGAGAGAAAATAACTCCAAGAGGCACTGTTATTCAGGAAGAACTCATCAGTGCATTACTATTAGAACCTTCTGGGCTTTTCTGTTGGCTCTGGTTCAAGCCTTTTTTAGAATAATGGCAGCTAGCACCCATGAGCTGGAAGATCAAGACCAACCCCCTGCCCCAAGCCAGGATTCTCTTCATATCAGTTATGTGTCTGTCCTCCATATTAAGTTGCATAATCCTTGCAAAGCTACCTCTTGAGTGGACAATGGAGCCTGATTCCTGTTCTTACCTGCACAAACTGCTCCAGGGCTTGCCGATCCAAGCATGTGTAGTTTTGCAAAAACTTGAGCTTCTCCAGTTGGAACTGGTCCCGAGTCTTGCTTTCTGCCTGCTTTTCCAGCAGCTGAAACACTGTAGCCCCCAGAAGGAGGTAAAAGACATACCCCAGCACCAGTATCAAAGTCCAGCTGAGCTGCCTGTTGCACACTGTAAGGTGCGGCATGGCTGCTGGTGGAAGACCGAGCCTGACCTAGTTGAGTGCTCACTGGGTTAATATTCCTGTTTTAAGAGGCATGAAAAGATCACACTGTCATATTTTCAGTTCATGCTGGTAAGATTCTGTTTAAACAGCTTTATGAGCACCAGGTCTGGACAACATGAGGCTAATGCAAACAGATTTCACCCACACCACTCTATCTTTTCATGGTCAACTACCTACTATAGTACTTGATGTAGCAGTTTGTCATATAGAGATAGTTTTAGGTGACAGTGCGTGAGGCAATTGTTTTAAAGTACTCCTGCAGCAGATACTGGTGTTTTCTGGATGGATAAACTTACCTATAATTACACAAGTCAGTGGCATCGCCTGTGATAAATGGGGGCAGCGGTGATGCTCAGCACATGGCTTCAGCAGCCAGACACAGCTAGGAGCTACTTACTATATCACTCTAGTTAGGGTGATTTCCCATGGCAAATATTGGCTAAACCCAGTAGTAAGTCACAACTAGAGGAAGCCCATTGAATCAATGGAACTAAGACTGAATCAGCAAATTTCCACTGATTCAATGGGTCTACCCTAGTTGTGACTTTTTACTGGACTTTGCCAATTGCATGTCCTCCTTCAGTAGCTGTGGTCTATAGCGCAGGGGGGTGGAGAGAACCCCATTTTGCAAAACATGATGTTTGAAAGAATCCTATATTTAGCCTACTTATTAATTAGAAAATAGACACAAAAAGTTCACTGCCCATTTTTTCTGTCTTTCTGGATGTATTCTATATATTTCAGAGCCTTTTTTCAATTTGCAACATTTACTTTTCCTTGTCAATAGCATTACTCTGTCTAAAAGATGAAAAAGATCCATTATTTGCTAAGACGATATCACAGATTTTCTTTGTAGGCTGCAATGGTTTTCACTGAAAGAAAGGAGCAGAGTACTAATTTAATGTGTCAAAGTGTTTTATTTGCCAAAAGTACATGATAAGTATTGGGGGTTAAAAAAAAAAGAGGCCCAAATTCTATTGGACATTTACATGTGCACAAAAGGAATTATAGACGTATCCACAGCTAATTGATGAGGTGCCAAATATTTGATTGCAAATGCAACCAGGCATACAAGCAAGATGGAAGCAGTATTTCATTAATTAGCCATGTCTACTTCTGCAGTTTCTCTTGTAAGCACATAAATATCCAACAGTAGTATGTCCAAAGTGTTTGGTTGAGTTTCTAAACTAGTTCCATGTTCTGCCATTGAAGCATGTTTACATAATAATTACTGTGTCACCTTTCAAAGCAAGGCCTCACCTGCTATTGAAGTAGATTTGCTTATTTGTCATAGTATTCTTTTTAGTAAAGCATCACACTACTTAATCTTGGGCTACAGCCAACAAATCAGTGACACAGCACATGCTTTGCATATACAGCTGTTTGTTTCCATGCCTCCTTGATCTACTGCAGCCTCTGCGCATGTCTTGAACTTCTATTACTGCTGACAACTGGACATGCTGATTGAGTATAACAGGTGTGGTAGGTCAAAACACCTGGAGGATCCAAGGCTGGGGAAGAGTGAGCTATTAAGTTTGAGGTAGGAGTGCTCAACTTCCATCAGCACTTTAAGTCAACAAGGCTTCACCTTTCTGAAATGGACCATGTTTTTCCTTCTGCAGGTTGCATGCAACTTTAGTTTCATTGGAACCCTGTGTTGTGTTTGTTGTTGTTACACAAGAGTCTTTTCCGTTATTTTTTTTCTTTGTTGTTGTTACAACTGAAATTTCCAAGTAAATTTATTTAAAGAAAAACAAAATAACAGAATGCCCTGAACAAATTAATTGACACATTTTCTGCAGCTGCACACACTACAGAAGATTTTCCATTCTGCAAGTGGAGTCTGGGGGGCTTGGCCATGATCTGTTGTAGAAGGAATCCTGTGCCCTCCCCATCTTCTTGGATCTCTCTCCCTCTGCCTCCACATAGACAAACATCCCATGCACATGTTTGGGTAGTGGTTACATGAATCTCTCTCATGTCATATGTTAATGATCATCACTATTCAATGGGAGACTTTTAAGAATTCATTCTTATGGCAGTGACCAAGCTGAAAGGTTAGAGGAAGAAACTCTTCAGGCATTCTTGACTCTAACTCAATTTCTTTGGAATGACTGAATTGGTTGCATTAGTGGCCTCTACAGAAAGGAAACAGAATGACATTATGAGGAGCCTGGTTGTGTTTATCTCAGTACAATGAGATAATCTTAAAGCCCAATCTTCCTTTACATACATGCTTGGCTCCCCTATCATCTCCTCCCACCCCCGCTTTGGCAAACCTATTCCTGACGTAGTATTGCTCTAAAATCCTGACCTAGTCTTACGTTGCTTGCCTGTTCCTTAAGAATCTGTTTCAGTGTTTCTGGATCCATTCCTGTTTTTTTTTTTTCCATCACAACCCTACTTTGTTTTCTTCCAGTCCTGAACTTGATCCTGTCTAGATGTAACCTTCCTAGCCCTTATCCTACAAATACCACTGATGTCTTAAGTCGCAGACAATTTTTCTAATTGGATTTAAAGCAGTATTCTTTTAAACAGGAGTCCACTAGCACACTGATGGCTAGCAATTTTTGTTTGGCATAAGGCTTTATATACTACAGGCCATGCCATCCGGTCCTGTGCATCACTTAAAAGACACTGAGAGCTATTCCAGCCTTTTCTTAATAAATCATCTGTGAGAGGAAAGAAGACAGAAGGGTTAAGGGTAGGACTGCATGGGAGAGTTGTAAATTGAAAAATGATGGCATCTGGTCTCGCCCCAAAATTATGGTAACAAGGTAGGGCAGTGTAATTTCACCTGAAATTAAGGCATCCATAGACCTTGGAATGGCCGTGTCCACTCAAGCTGTTGATTGGATACTCCCAAAGGAATATGAAAAAGCTTTCCGATTTGTTCCAGTTAAGCCTTTCCTGCATACTTCCTGAGCTCTGATATAGAGCTATAACTTTTGATTTTCCTTTAGCCTTGGTTCCTCACTTGCTCCGTGGTCCTGACTTCTCACTGAGCCTGCCTGCTAGTTTATATTTTGTTCCTGACTTCAGGGTTGCATTCTGTGGCTCCTGGTTCTCTGCCTACTATAAACTGCTCTCCACAATCTAGTCCTGAGATAATCTGAACATTAGAGGTTAATGGCTGAAATCCTGTTATCATGACTTTATGCCACATAACTGGGATAATATCATCAGCCCACAATTGTAATGTTGAATTTAATTTAATTGAAAGATTTCTCCCCCTTCAGATTATGAGACTAGCTACTGTTTCATTTTGACCAGAGGAAACCTTTGAGAGCCTCAAATCAGAAAGAGAGAGAGAGAGAGAGAGAGTTTAATCACCAAAAATCACTGCTGCCGGGCCTGCTACTGGCATTGGGCTTGTCACTGTTGATATGGCAGCATTTTTTTTACTATCAAATAATAAATAGATAATTAAATAGAAATTAAAGAAAAATAGGAGGGCCATGAGATCAAGAGAATAGACAACAACAGAGCTTTGAGTCTGATGGGGAATGTGGGTTTCTCCAGATGTTGCTAGACTGCAATTTCTGTTATCTCTCAACAGTGGTTATTGTAGCTAGGGCTGATGGGATTTGTGTTCCAGCATCTGGAGGGCAAATGTTTCTTGCTGCTGATTTAGCTAGAAATATATCAGACTGGCCTTTATCTGCTTAGTCTAAATAATAAGCATAATTTTCTAAATTCAATGTCAAAGACTCTTGTGGAACGAATGTAGCATAACTGAAACTTTTCATACCTAAAACCAGAGGCTGCTTGTCAGTGTGAAAACAAATACATTTGGCAAGGCAAAACACAATGATTTCTAAAGACTTTTGATAGGACTGTTATCTCTAATGGCAGGAATAAACCGTAGTGTTAAAAGCATGTCAAAATAGCAGATGCCACAAATCAATTAATGGAAAATAAAATATAACACACTTTCCTTAAAACACACACACACACATTCAAGACTCCTGTATAGGAGATGTCCGGAGATGGCTTAATAGTCAGGTTTCAGCAGAAAGAGGACAAGGAGACATATTTATTCTAAATGAATCAATTGCCCATGCATGACAGAAAAAAAAGCAGAATTATTTATTTTAAATGAATCAATTGTCCATGCAAGATAGGAAAAAAAGAGAGCATTTAAGCTGAATGGCTCAAGAGTTAAATTAGCCATGCAATCCTATACACATCTAGTCAGAAAATGTCTCATTGATTTTAGCAGGGCTTACTCCAAGACAAGTAGATATGAGGTTACAGCCCAAAAGACAAAGTCAAGTTCCATCTAATTAATGAAAACATTTTATCTACAAATTGTTGACATGCCAGGGCATTCCATGCATGACAGAAATCCAGCCATTCCTATAATCCAGCCATTCCTAAACTGTCATCCTCCAAATGTGTTGTATTACAGAGTTCCCATAATCCACAATCAGAATGCCCATGATGTGGAAGTTACAGTCCAACATAGTCAGTGAATGCTAATTTGCATAAAACCAGCCTAATCTATTGTGAAATAACAACTAGTACACTCTTCTAAAACAAAACACAACTGCTTATATACTGTCATATATATTCTTGTATATATCTTATGTACATAATATACAGTGGTGCCCCGCACAGCGAGGTTAATCCGTTCCGGATTAACCTTCGCTGTGGGAAACATCGCACTACGGTACACAAAAAGGCATTGGAACGCATTAAACAGCGTTTAATACGTTCCAATGCCGTAGAATCCTCACCGTAGTGCGATGCTTCCCAGGGGCCGGCAGCCATTTTCACGCCCTCCCCTCGCACAACGAGGGCGCCAAAATGGCTGCCATCAGCTGTCCGGCAGGTCCAAAATGGCCGCCGGAACAGCCGAAAGGGGCCGGGGCACAGCGTTTTCGCGCCCTTGGTAAGCAAGGGGAGCGCGCGAAAACGCTGCTGGAAGCCCCGAAATGGTTGCGCGCAAAAAGCATCTA